TTTTTACACACCATTTTTTTTAACTAAAGTTTAAATGAGCTTTAATAAAACCAATGACAATTGTGATGATCTTATATTAAAAAATTTAAATTGCTTAACATAGGAGTTATTAATGGGACACAATTTTGAAGATCACATCAATTATTTCATATAAAGAAGTTGGTTATATTAAAGCCCAACCAGTTTTGAAGAAATACCAGAACTCCAACATTCCAAACTATCACAGAGACACATTTGTTCCTCCTCGAGTCTCTCATCTAGAACATACTGCAAAGCCCGAAACACTTGGCCACAAAGATTCAAGGAGTAGGTGTCAACTGAACAAAACTAGCCATCGTATTTATATTGTATCAGGAATTTCCAGTATGCAACAGACACAAACTTACATAATATTAGAAAACAAAAAAGGTAATGAATATAATGAATTTTGAATATTTGATTTTCAAGACTCCTCTTTCCCTTGGTTGGTATCAAACATACTTGACTTCCAATTCACTGACAAAGTAYATTCATAAAATTGAATGCTGTGTACTTTTTTTCAGCTAAAAAACCTCACCTTTACATTTCTACACTTCGACTCATCAACAGTGTACTGGGCAACCTGAAAAATGTTTAAATATATAATTCAAAATTAATACTATATATGCTTCATACAAGGAGATTGACAATATTCAGCTAATTTAAATTATGAACTGAAAATATATTTCAGATTAGACATAATGGTCTAAAATTGAGATGACAGCTGATACAATACTACAAATCACTTTTGGAGATATAAAAGAAAAAAAATACACTTTTCCAAGTTTTTTTCCTCCCACCCACATCCAGAGATAGGTAAAATCTCACTTTTGAATCTAAGGAAAATGATTTGAAAATTTGGTCTTCCTTGTCTAACTTGAAAATATGATTAAAAACAGTTAACATACCTCTGCTTTGCCCTTCTCACTTTTCAGAACTCCTTCTGTATCAGATTGCTCAGCTCCAATGGCTTTAAAAAATAGCAAGAGCTAGCTAGCAGACTGGATTGATGAATTTATTAACCAAAAGTTCTAATTAGGCAAAGACTTATAACTTACCTAGATCTGCATCTAAATGGCTGTGTGCACAAAACTTAACTCACTGCATAGTCTTACTGCATCACTGAAATGACTGGTCAGTGTACAAAACAAATAAGACAACTTACATCTTTTTATGTTTCAACTAATAATGCCAAAATCTGTGCAAAATGACTTGAGCGTTCCTAGATTTTTGCCTAGACTTTGTTTACAAATTTAAACCCAGGAAGATGAGGTACAGATAGTACTGACAGAGCACACAAAGCAGCCTGTCACTCCCATACTCCAGGCCATCACGTAGCAGTTCTACTTCTCTGATTTAACACAGTACCTGAAAGTTTTGTAATGTGGATGCTTCATCTGACTTAAAATTCTAGAATTCAGCAAACTCAAGCTTTGCACTCTAAATTTAGATATACAACCAAAAATGTTTTGGCTACACTGCTATGCGGTTCCCAAGAAGTGGAAAGAAATCACCAGTTAGACAGACCTTAATTAAAGGGATTAAGTATTGTTTTCACTTTTAACTACGGTTTCTATGAGAAAAAAASTAAAATGACTGTTACTCGGCTCAAGTGGTATAAGATGTTCCTTTAGATATGGTTCATGTTGTAATGAAAATATTTTTCCAGCATGCTTCTGTAGCTCATTGATGTATGCATTTATTCTGTCCTCCAAATCCAAGAGAGGGTCGATGTTCAGCGGCACATTCTCATGCAGATATCGAGACACAGCATCGAATGAATAGTCTTTCTGTAACTTATCCACCAAAGAATTAGGCTCATCCAGAAAGAGAAACTTTGGCCACTCCTTCTGCAATCGGTACATAGTAAAAAAATGTTATTTCTAGATACAATACAAATGTAAAGATTAAATTATGTAGTTTGTGTATTCATTTTATATAAAGAATTGCAGAATCAGCATTTGATTTACACCTTCAAAGAAGTTCTAAATTTTGCAACGTTGTCAACACTCACTGTTTCCCTCCTATTCTCTTCACTGCATGCAGAGATTATTATAACATCTTAAAAAGTAAGAAAAAAAGGAATGGGCCAAAGAGGCCCATCAGAGCATACGGAGTAATTAAAAAGACTTCAACATTTTTGGTTACAAAATGAGTTGCTCAATGAAAAAAAAACAATGAACCAAACAAAAAGGTTATGTTTCTAAAGAGGAAAATAAAATCACATGSAATTTAAATTCTCTGAAAGAACAGTAATGTATTCCATCTGTTGAGATGCACAGATGTCTAAGAAGTATAGGAAAAAATTRTGTTCCTCTATCTAGCTAAGCATTAAAACGAGTAGCTTAAGTAGATGAGCAAATTATGGATGCCAATCACAGACACTGGAAGTTAATCATCAAATTGGTTGCTTTCTTGAGATAACTTGGTTAAGGTTAATAGAGAACAATTTCAGTATAGTTGGAAGACAATGGCTTGTTCTAACTTAGAAGCAGGACAGCAAGACAAAGTATTTTGGGGAAAAAAATAGAAAAGTATTAAAACACATTATCATTTGGAAATAAAACAGTAGAATTATTAAAATTTTATTTTGACTTCTTAAATGTCAAGTGGGAGATTTAAGACAGAATTTTAAATTCTATCTTAAAAATACACATTTTTATAATACAATTTCTATCTGTCTACTTTTTTTTCTTCATYTTTTTCTGTGACAGAAAAAGTTTTACTCATAGGTCCATAATTAAATGGCATTGATTCTATTAACACATTCAATAGGAATGTTCTGTTTCCTCCAAAAAAATGCAATTTGAATGAATCACCTGTATTAACATTATATGAAATTCTGAAACAAAACACACAGAATATTCAAAGATCTCCCCAACAGACTCATCAGCAAAATAAAAAATGRAAAGTTTATTTAAAAAGCAAATTTTACACTCCTTTTACACTACTCAGAACATTTGGCCTCAGGGCTTAGGACTTTGTATTATGCTAATAATGCTGCCGACCGGTCAAATATTTTAAACAAGCCTGAGTCAGTGGCATTACTCAAGCATGCTTCCAACAATAAAAATTGCTGCACAGCAGACAAAGGACTTCCTCCACGGTTTACCTTTGAGAAAAAGAAAATTTAAAAGCAGACAGGCTGTTCTCTTGAAGGYCTGGAGATCTCCTTGTTTCCAATGCCTGAGGGTCTAGGAAATACAATCTATGTTCAAACTCACTTCTCAATATTTATATTCACATGGCTCTGATCCCGACCTCATTCCTGCCTGTTCACTTCACCATACACACGGGTAGTTAAAATAATAAGCAGTAGGACTCACCAAATTTTGAGACTGTAAGAAGTCTTCAAAAGAGAAAGGAGGCTTTTGCATTTTCTACTGACATACAAATAAGAATTGTTCTTGCCAAAACACCTTAAAGGAGCTAAAACAACATTTATTAACACATACTTAAGCTTTACATGATTAATACTGGCAGGCCAAGCAACTTCAGATCATACAATAAAAATGTACATTACCATTCCATAGAACAGTTTTGCTAGGTTGCAAATAACTGTATAAAGTAAAATGAAAAGGACAAATTTCAGATTTCAGGCCCAGGTTTTAATTGTGGAGCTCTGTCATTCCCAACAGTTTCTCTCCAGACGAAGCATTCAAAAAAAA